ATATGATGTGGAAAAAGATACGCGTTTGTCCTCTGTTACGAGTTAAAATAATGTTATTTAAATATTTTTAATATTACACTGACCTCAAAAAACTAATTGCATTAACATTATCGTGTTTTTCTGTAACAGATTGCTCTTACTTCTTTCTTTCTTTATATTTTGAAAACAATTGGAAAACAAGATTTAAAAATTTCTGTTTATCGCAAAAGTTTCCATTTGTTGTTTATCAACATGCACTTCTTTTATCAAATATAAAAAAAAAGTAACATTTCCAACAGGTAGAATTTAAAAGAAACTAAAACTACGTATGCATATGCTGATAATAAGTGAACAACAATATTATGTGATTTTAAAACAAATTTTAAACATAATCAAGCATCGAAGTGATAACGTTCAGAAAAATAGAAAATAATTCAATATCTAAAATGAGTTGAAATAAACAGATTGGAATTAAGGATTATGTACTTAGGAAGTGGTGAATCTAGCCGGCCCAGTGGCCCCGCAAGACTCAAAAAGATTCTCGAAAAGAAAGAAGTCATTCTTAACAAATGGAGAAATGGTACGATTTTCTCTCAGATATTCTTCTCATTTTCTAATTTGCACTCGAACTATATCGTTTTATTCAATCTCGCACTGCGTGTTTTATTCTATTAAATCTCGAATGTTTCCGTTTTTAAATCTGCATGAAGACAGCTTTGTTGTCGAGCGAGATTAAATTTGCTTTATAATCATGCCGCTAGGTGGCAGCACCAGCAATGTTACATAAATCTATACCGTTTTCAAAAATCAGAGTGCACTATTTATATTTTTCGTAAAATAAAGAGCATGTATATAATTTGGTATCTTTAAATAATTTTCTTTTGAGAAATATTATATTTAGTATACTTTTGTTATGTAGGAAACGAATACTTAGGCATAAATAATACGAGATGTATACACATATATTGACTTGATATTTAAAGTAAGTACATGTGTGTAAGAGTATAATTATCATTAATAAATTACATTAAATAATCTTTATTGTTATTAGTAATTGAAATATTATTGTCCATTAATAATTGAAAATATATATTCAATAAATGTAATTTATGTGCTAAAACCGGTTATTCAAAAGTATAAAATAGAAATAGAAATTTTGTGTAATTTAATATAATGTAATATTTAATATATTTATAATACAATATTTATATACATATATATAATTATGTATGATATATATATTATAATTATAATATATTGTAATATAATATGAAAATATATTGTAATATATTATATAATATATAAATTTGATATAATATTTAATATACTATAGTATATTAATAAAGCTAAAAATTTTAATTTAGTATAATGTAACAATATAATATATTTATTTATATTGTTATAATTACTTGTATTACATGCTAATTTGAATAATGTGGATTATATTTCATATTTCATTTTTGTTAGTAATTAGTTACTATACATCTGATAGATTGTATATTTACAATTTTAGCATTGTCAATCTTTCAAAAATATGTATATAAATATCTTATAAGTAACTCACAATAAAAAGATCAAAAGATGTTTGTCATAAGTTGTTTATGAGCAAAAATTATTCTAATTTTGTAAGTCTTTTAACTTCATTAAAAGAGATTAATTACTTTTATTAATAACTTTATTCACATAGAAATAATAACAGGTTTACTCATAAGACTAATCATGCAATAAAAAGTTTTACAATAGATGTTTGTCAAGAGTAATATTTGTATAAAAACTTATTGACCTCAGTAATAATTTTAACAAAAAAAAGAACATTAATTCACAACGATAGACGCCACAAATTTTCTAAATGTTTTCAAAAAAATAATTGAAATTTTTTGATTTAGTTAAAATTGAAAAACTTCTTTGAACAAAAAGACATATAATAGAGTTATATTCAAACATTACAATTACATAATGAAGAAACACATTTCTTTAAGTTTATAAAAAGAAATTGCATCTATGCAAATTTATTTAATTTATTTATTTAGAGAGAGTCCGTTATTCACTTACTAGTATTAATTCCATTGCAAAAAGAGAAAATTAAAAAATACTTTTCTATTCCAGTTATTATCATCGTATTGGGAAGAAAATGTTACTTGATATATGATCAAAGAATAACCGAAGAAATCGTTCGCTCTATTAATTACCTGCATTATTGTCAGCAGGCATAGCTGTCTATCAGATTGAATATTGGTATAAATGGCTTTGTACTTCTAGTTAATTTAGCTTGACAGTATGCAGTAGAATCGATTACAGCAGTGTTTCTCATGGCAGTAGATCACTGTTCAACATTAAAAATTGTTTTATTACAACGCTGTTTGACTTATACTCATTAAATGAATTGATAAACTTAATTGATAATTAGTCAAGATAAAGTTTCTTTTTTATCGAATGACAGTCTCGAATCTTTTATATGAATAATTCGTAATATGAAAAATTTGAGAACACTTTTCCTGGTAATACTATATCAATTAATGTAACATATTAGATCTTGTTATATTAGATCATTACTATATTAGATCCTCTCTCAATAAGCGTACGTATCCACGGTTCGATAAGCAGAGCACAGGAAATTAAAAAGATCGTATAGAAAACAGACACTTTCCAGCTTCATTATTACAATTATTTTTTGAGAGAAAATATTATGGAGGTCATTTTGTAAACTGGTTATAAAACGCGTGTAAAACGCAGACTTTCAAGGAAACATATTGTAAAAACTATAAAAATTATTATATATATATATTATAATAATTTTTATTATAATATAATTATTATATACATATATATGTGTGTTGATATAAATTTCACAAGTTCATATAAATAAATTAATGGAAAATTTGATGTACATATGTAGTAATTATCAAAGATTATATTGTGCTAATAATTAATTAATCAATTTTAATTCACTTGTAACATAGCATGTAGTAAGTACATGTTACAAGTGAATTAAAACTAAAGTATTATATTAAAACCAAAGTATATTAAAACTGATATTAACACTATTGTTCTAATAATTGATTATTCAATTTTAATTCACTTGTATAACATAACATATAGTAAGTACATGTTACAAGTGAATTAAAACTTAAGTATTATATTAAAACCAAAATATATTAAAACTGATATTAACAGTATTGTTCCAATAATTAATTATTCAATTTTAACTCACTTGTAACGTAGCATATAATAGGTATATGTTACAATTAAAACTAAAGTATTATATTAAAAGCAAAGTATATTAAAACTGATATTAACACTAATGTGTTATATCAAAACTTGTACAGTAAATCAGAGGTAAAATTTTGAGGCAATTTCTTATAATTAAATTAATCATTTAATACATAGTTATCAAGGATTATTAATTTTTTTAGTTTTAGTAGTTTTTATTAATTTAGTGAAATAATAGAAATAAAATGTAAATCTATTGCAGAAGTGTGCAGCGGAGGTGAACTACCAGAAGTTGAAATCATCAGTTTGCTAGAAGAACAAATTCCACGATACCGTCTGCGAGCCGATACTCTAACTCAGTTTCAAGGTAAATATAGATATATAAATATTATTATAAGACTGAAGTAATGTAAGTGAAGTACAAGATGTTCTCTTCACTCTTTTCATATAAATCTTATTAACGCGTTTCATAGATAAAAATGAAGTTGAAATATGTAATGAAAAGTTTCATAAATCTTATTCATTAAGAGCTTCATTCATTAGTTGTAACAAAAATATGAATATAATGTGGAAGTATGTGTATGATGTAAACGTGCTATTTGTATCGACGTGTTAAATCAAAGTTTGTGTATCTACAACTTTTTCTTAAATCAAGTCATTAATGTCAAGTAGTTTATTTATACAAAAATAGTTCATTCATTCATACATGTTAGAAGAAAATCTTATGTTTTTATTTCTGATGTTTCGGATTTTTTCAAAGTCGTTTGTCAAACTATCTTTGACCGACCAGATACGTTTAAATGAACACGGTGTAGGTTCTCCATTTCAAAGTATCGCGTGACTTTATCGATACAAGATCGATATTGATTATTGAATTTATGATTGATTAAGTTTCGTCGCAGTTTTTAATTAATTGCTTTTCTTAAAAACAGTACTATTATCTTATCTTACACATTTCATATTTTTGTGTTTTATAACTTCTTAACATTGGAACTACCGAAATGCTCAAAATGACCAATTTATAATTTTCGTTGGAAATTTTATAGATGTGGAACAGTGTATTTTTGGAGATTTAAATGATTATATATTAGTATCTTATATTAATATTTTATTTATATATAAAATATATA